CTTTCTTTCTTTCTTTCTTTCTTTCTTTCTTTCAGTTTAAAAGCGGCTCCAACGTCAGCAGTGGAACCAACGGCAGCGATGCGACATGGAAGATTACAACAGCAGGCTAAAATATATTTTGTGTTGCATTCCCGGTGATGCACAGGGCTCCAAACAACTTTATCGAGGAAGCGACCTGCAGAATATTCAAAGCAAATATGTTAAGCTTCACAACACCCCACATAGAAGATGAAGATCATGAACATCATTTGTCAGATGGGGAAACTGAGGCAGGGGGCAGGGAAGATTGATTGGGCCTTGGCATCACAGACAGCTTGGAAAGATTCATGCTAAAGACCTTTGGAGGTTCTTCTTCGGGCTTGGATGTCCATCCTGTGATTCTCTTAGGAACCTGCAAACAAAAAAGTGACAACACTGGAGTCTATACCACGCTTCAGTCCCACCTGTTATTTAGATCTCTAGCTAAGGATGGGGGACGGCAAGTTCTGAGGAAGGAGGGATGAAACTGCTGGAGTAACAACCAGTGGCTGACTCACCGATGCTCTCCATGGGGCTAGGGGCCCTGTGCTACAGATAGCAGGGTGAGCAGGTCACTAGGGGGCGCTGTCCCCCTTGGATCCAGGGGTGACCCCACTTCTCCAGAGCTGCAATACGGGGCACTGCGGTGCGGGGCGCGGGGTGGGGAATCAGGAGCTGGTGGTCTCCCCTGGCAGTCAGGGATTGACTTCGATATCACAGGGAGGCTCTAGGGGGCGCTGTGCTGCCGGGAGCCCCACGACCGACTGCTGGAGTGTGACCCCCAGCGTTCAATCCCAACACAGCTGATTCCGCTCTGCCTACCCCCTTCCCACTCCCTGCCAATTTCAGTGCAGTTCAGGAGACTCCTTTGCTCCCCATCCAAAATGGTTGGGCAGCTGTCATGTACCCAACACACCCCGCCCCAGAGGTGGCTGCATGTCAGCCGATGGCTGAAGAGCTGCCCATGGGAACAGAGCCTCTGACATACACGATACCTAGCCAACTGTGGTACTGGTAGGTGCAACCATCCCTCTGCAACTAACCTTGTGTAGGCTGAGAAAGAAAAGGGGAGAAATTTCAGCCTTGGTGGGTTGTTTTGAGTTCAGGGACAAGTCCCCAAGACCCTGCCAATCAAAGCTGCCTTCCCCGTAAGAAGCCAGTTACCTTCGCACTTCATCAGGAAGTAGGTGACGAGGAAGATGAGGCAGTTGAGGGTGAAGAATGAGCCCCCCACGGCCAACTCCCGGGACCAGCTGCCTGGGTGGGTTGTGGAGAAGAAACGTGATGGTGAGGGAGGGGCAATGCACTGCTCAGAGTGTGTGTGGGTCCCTGCCACCCCCTGCTGCAGGGGGTGAGCCCTGCTCTGTGTGTGTGTCTGTGTGCGCGCGAGGGCTGGGGATCATACATCCCGGCAGCTACTGAGAAAGACAGAAAATGAAGATCCAACGTAT